TTTTTTGTTTTTCTCCCATTACAACATATTAAATTTTTGGGTGATTTTATAATTATGTTTGTTTGTGTATTATTCTAAGCTTAATTCCTACGCGTTTTTTCTTTACCACGAATGCATGATTACACATGCGTTCAGCGGCGTCATCCTTTTTCGACAGTCCAAATATTCTGTGAAGAAGCACGAGGTTTCATGTTTGCTTCCAAATCTCCCCATTTCAAAAGAAGTATTGGACGTGTGGTCGTGCATTTTGAACTATAATGAGAAGTTGAAAAGTCGTGGCTCACCGTCATGCTTTTATGCATCTACATCTCCATGCGATGAGGTATGTTATTGTTCATTAGCATAGTATCTTAAATGTTTTTTCATTCGTGAGCATGACATGTTCGTTTTGTACTTTTGGCATGGTCATTTACAGTTATTTTACGTCGGTAAACGGAGGAAAGACTCGATTTATAAGAAGTTCGCTCAAACATTAGATTCTGAAATCGCACGAATGTCCAGCTACAAATTAAACAAGATATCGATGGTAAGTGAACACTTGTTAACACTAGCTATATTTATTTTGTGTGGTTATGTGTGTATGTGTGTGTTCTGTTCGTTTCTTATTTTTTTTAGTTTTTTTTCTACCTAATTTACGGACGATATGTGTTGTGAGACTAATTAATAGAATTTTTTTTTATAGATTAATGCGTGCGCTTAATTTTTTTATTTTTTATTATTTTTTTATATTTACGTCTACAGTTTCTGTTTCCTGTTCACTCCGTGGCTTTCTCGGGCTTATTGTGCATGGCGCCGGATTTGCTGAAGCTCGGTATTCTGAATAGCGCTGGTTCTTCTATTGATGACGGTGTGAAAAAAGTGCTCATGTCTCGTGTCATGCTGTTGGTATGGCTATTAAAACTACTTACTATCGGTGCATTTACATTAGTTCGATTATTGTGCTATTAACAATATTTTCATTGTTTTCCCTGCAGAAGCAGTCGCTTTCAAAGTATCTAGGTGAGAATCACATGGCGAGGAGATCTAAATCAGCCGCATTGTCTGTTCCCAATGTCATCAATGCACCCTGGACCGAGGGAGTCGATGAGGCAGATGTTGGTGTGATCACGATGCGCCATCTGGAGACATTCTTCAAAGGCAGATTTTCTAAAGGCTGGACTCCACAAATTAAGAGAGGAGACAAGGAACAGTTGAAGTTAATGAGGAAGAGGTATAGTTGTGTCATAGCATGCGCATCGAACAATGAGATAAAGGAAACAAATCTCGTGGCGGCTAATAAATATCGTCCGTTGTATTTGGAGATGAAGCGCAAGTCGGCGTGCTTGACGGTTGAAATGCGTGGGTGGTCAGACTGTTGGGTTAATACCCGCTTTGGAGTCGGTATCATGCAAATAATGTTAGGTCGTGGAAATGTGTACGTGTATATTCTTTTTGGTGGATTAGTACTTGATAACATTTTGTGCCTTGATGACATGTCGTGGCATGAATGGTCGTTACTTGGTTATTTTGTGAATGATTTGTGGATCAATTTTATGGATTTCATGGATCTTTTGCGAATGGTTTGTGGATCGGTTTCAGGGGTGTTCATATAAATATAGTGCATCTATTTCATATGTAATGTGCATATTTAAAGTCATCGATGTGCATTTTAATATTAGTGCAAACGTTGATTTTATATTGTCTATGAAATTATATGTAGTGTGCGAGTATGACAATTGTATCGTGCAGTGTCATTATAGTATTGTGCAATTTAATAGGAGAAATCGGTTTTCTCAGCTGAAAATTGTACAATAATGTGGCTTAAGGTCTGGAATGCATATGTATATTGTGCATTTCACTTTTCAAACGTGTGCAATTCACACAACTTCAACGTGACATAAAGTGCACGTTCATTTTTTATTATTACTCTTTTTTTCATTTTTTGTCCGTTTGTTATATTGATCTGAATACAACCCATTGCACGATATATGAGTTACAATGTACAATAGCGTTGTACGAACTTATCTAATATAGATATTGTATATTATCATATATAATGTACGCCAAAGAGATTTAAAGTGCAACAGAGTTACATATAATGTGCGTTTTAGCAATACATTGTGTGCAATCTATCAACTACGGTACAGTGCACATCATCCTCGATCTGGAACTTTGTTTGTTTCTAATTTATATTAATAAACAAATCACATGTATTAAAAATACGTTGTGTCTGATACCACGTTTGAAACATATGCATGTGACGACAATACATAACCAATGTCCGTAAAAATTGACACTAAATACGAAATCAGTCTGAGATATAAACAAATATAAATGGAGTCAATGCAGGAATCAATGCGTCGCACTCCGTCCGAGATATCTACCATCTTGGCTCCTACATTTTTTTTTTAAATTTGTGCAACTTAGTATGCAACACCGACGTTTATATATGAGGAGATGTGTGTGTGCATGTGAAACAAAAAAAAACCCACCAGTATAATCTCGACATCAAATGAATATGTACCTGAACATTTTAATCTCGACATAATACTTCCCGCACTCAACAGTGATTCTGCAATTATAATAACAAACACAAATAGTTTAAACTTCCAAGGGTAAATGTAATATTAATACATACAGTAGTACACTCAAAGTTATAGCATGCTTGTATTTACCTCTGGTAGTTGTTTTTTAGGACATGTCTGCATATTGTGACCCGTCCTCTCGCCACATGACTTGCAAAGTCTTCGTTTTTTCTGAGATTTCTCAATTGATTTCTCCTTGGCAGTATAATCTCCTAACACATAACATCAAATGAATATGTACCTGAACAAAATATTAATCTCGACATAATACTTCCCGCACTCAACAGTGATTCTGCAATTATAATAACAAATACAAATAGTTTAAACTTCCAAGGGTAGATGTAATATTAATACATACAGTAGTACACTCAAAGTTATAGCATGCTTGTATTTACCTCTGGTAGTTGTTTTTTAGGACATGTCCGCATATTGTGACCCGTCCTCTCGCCACATGACTTGCAAAGTCTTCGTTTTTTCTGAGATTTCTCAATTGATTTCTCCTTGGCAGATTTAATCATTTTCCCACTACCTTTGTTTTTTGACTGCATTGGAGGAAGTATGCTTACTGTTTGTGGGGTGGGCATGCCAACAAATGAGTCAAACCTCCGTGCTTTGTCAGTGCTTGTCGTATCACCTTCCAGGAGTTTGCGTTTTTGTTCTCCAATAATGGTGCAGAACTCGACCAGTCGGTCCGTATGCATCTCAACCAATCCCATGCATATGTGAATGTCAGACCACAACTTATTAACAAGTATCTTGTTTTCATCTTGACGCGCGCATTGCTCGGAAATGTTATCGAGTATGCGGAACATGGGGTTACTAAAAGCGAGTTTTGTCCACCGTGACATGATGTGATCAGGTGGTATTGCCTCTATGTTTAAGTCCTTAAGCACGACAAAAATATGTCTACACAGCCATCCATAGATCTCAAAGTGTTTGCACGAGCATTCTGATGTACTAAGGACGACGTCATGTACTACTGTAAACGTTTTCCCGTCACTGTCTTTGATAACAAATGTCATGTGGCTACCATTATCAGAAACCTGCATAACCCTATATTTGTAGCACGCATCACAAATCTCATTTTGAACACGATAGAATATTGTTGTTGTGTACACGTGCAGGGCTGACTTTTCAACCGATAGAGGTGTTTTTAAATCAGCCATATGAGTTTCACTATCACACTGTAGTTTCATTGACGTGTTACGTTGTGCATCCATTGCACTGTCAAAATGCAACAGGAACTCCACCAAACTAGAACGATTATTAGTGAAACTGCTAAACCAATTGTTCTTGCTTTCCGACCTAGACGTAGTCCTCATCAGCCCACTCATTCTCATATCCCTAAAATATGCTGGTATCCAATGCCCTCTCTTGGCAAACTTATCAATAAACCAATTATGCGATTCCAACGAATATTCGTGCATTATAGCAGCCCATTTAGAATCAAATTCAGCAGGTTCTATGTTTCGAGACCAGACAATTTCGTTCAACCTCTGTTTGTAATCGGTATCATTTGTTAAGGAA